ATTATTTATATAGAGTGAAGTTTGGATCACAATTTCCGCTTTACTCTTGAAAGCAATTATTTTTCACACAAACACACGTAAGAGAGAAGTGTTAAATGAAAAAACTTTCTTTACTAAATTTGCTGCTAATATGTATTCACCTAGTGGAGGGCAGAGGATTGGGGAATAAAAAGGGCCCGAGATGGGAGAACAGGGAGAGCATAGGGTGGGGGAAAGTGAGAGCATGGACATAGAGGGTCTCTAAGGTACGGGAAGGCATAGATAATGATATTGGGGGAGGAATGGGATGGCAGGTGGATTTGGTTACATTCCTCTCTGGAGTTGCCAGTGGAGGGTTTCCCACTCCTCTCCAATACTGAGGATACTGAGCTAAGACATGTGGTTTCCCTATTCACTACCCTCTCCTTGTGTCTTTTTGGCTGCTGCTGCCCTGTGTCTCTCTTCCTTCGTCATGTCCCTGTGTAGAACATCATCTTTGTATTCCCTTACTTGCAGCCTCACCACTTGTGCTGGCGGCTAGAACGACAGTCTTGCTTCATTCAGGTAGACGTTCAGTTCCCGAGTGTCCAAGGAGTTAGGGACCAATTTTCCTCCCATCCCATCCCAAATTATTATCCTGACCCGTTGCTTTCAAGCGCTATATAGTTGTAATGGCTTGGCACTTTGTGATAGCGTCTTTCCCTTTTCTTACCTGCAGAAGTTTGCTCCTCCTGAATAAGACTGCCTCCTATTTTGCCTCGTTCGTGAATACCATCTTTATCAGTCGATTCCATTCCTTCTTGTAATCTCCTGGCCTAAAAACCCTTTTCCATGCTGCTATCAGCTTTCTCCTGCTGCTTGCATAGCTGCTGCTTGCAATGCAAAGCCTGGGTTGCATTGGAGCACATCTGCAAATAAGGGTACCCTGGTAAAGGTTCTTCATTTTCATCCCTTGAGTCCCTAAGAGTTGGTTGACATACATTAAGCATTAAGTCTGACTGGGATTCCCATTGAGGTTTCTTATCTCCTCCTTAGAGATAAATCTAAGGTCACTCTGTATGATATGGCAACCTATCTTATTACCATGGATAAATTACCTGAAATCCTTGCACTGTATCCATATTTCGCTTCCAGTAGATAAACGACATATGAGATGAAGAAACAAGTAGTGCATAGTGAAGACTAATAATAAACAGAAGCTCCCCTATGACTATCTCCATTGGTCAAACTATTAGGTATTAGCGATAAGACCTACCATTAATGTATGACAACTTACTGTAAATATATAGCTCTTGAAATAGCACTTTCTCTGTAACTAGCTGACATTGTAACTATAAGGTGTGAAGGATAGATGAAATTGTTTATGTAATAGTCTAAGATGAGGTCTGATAAAGACCTTTTGTGCCCTCTGTAATGCTTTTTGCGCTACCACCGCTCACAGGATGGGTACGGGGTGCGCAGTAAATTACCCGCCTCCGCTAACAACAGTCAAAATCCTTTGCTAACCACAGTTCACTCCCAAGGTTTCCCTGTTATTGTTTCCTTCAGAACTCTCCAAAGAGTCTCTCAAATATTTGATTATCTCGCTTGTAGTATCTCCCAGTCTTCCCCTTCGCCCCTCCTCGTCCCTGTATGTGATGTGTTGATGTGAGTTGATGCGAGTTGATGTGAGTTGATGTGAGTTGATCCATCTGTGTGTACTTACTCTCGTCCGTAGTGACCCATGTGTATACGCACCCTCGTGTAAAGCGGTGACCCATGATTGACTCACCCTCGTGGCTCGAGTGGACTCATGCTTACTGTACCAACAGTATAAAACAAATATTCACGTAGAGAAGAGCTTGACCCCCTTACCCCGGGGGGTGGGGGGTGGGGGGGTTCCTCCTCATCCCCAGAGAGGGGGGAGGGGGACCCGTTCCCAGTGGGTACAACAGACACCACTAACGTTAATTCGACGTTGATTTACGTTAATTCTACGTTAACGTTAATTATTCGTTGATTAACGTTAATTCTACATTGATTAACGTTAATTCTACGTTAATTAACGTTAATTCCATATTATCAACGTCAATTCAGCATTGAATTAAGGTTATTAACGTTAATTCGATTGTTAAATCACGGATATCAACGTTAATTCGACGTTGATTTACGTTAATTCCACATTATCAACGTGGAATTAAGGTTATTAACGTTAATTCGATTGTTAAATCACGGGTATCAACGTTAATTCGACGTTCAATAAAGATAATCCACGTTAATTCAACGTTGAATGATGCATAGTTATCAACGTAAATGAAACGTTGATTAGACTTAGAATCAAGATTATCTACGATAATTTGACGTTACTCTTGGATATTACACCCACTAAATAGGAAGCAAGAGACGGAAGATGATTAAAAAAGATGAGAAGAAATAGGAATAGGAGGAAAAATACTGAGAATGAAAGACAATGGATATGAGAAAACGTATGAGGAGAAAAGTAGTAAGGAGAAGAGAGGGAAGTGAATGGAAGAGCCTAAGAAGAAGGAAAGATGGAAAAAAGAAGGCAACGCTCAGCACAATCATTTTGTTAAAGTAATTGTTTGGAAATTATATCTGACGCTATGATTATGTAAGCAGTTCGCACTCTCCACGTAACATATATATATATATATATATATATATATATATATATATATATATATATATATATATATATATATATATATATATATATATATATATATATATGACAATGTCAGACCACGGAGGAAAAATGAAACAGGAAATTTCCTTAAGTACTTTCGTATATTAAATACATCTTCAGAAGGTCACCTTCTGAAGATGTATTTAATGAAACAGGAAATGAAACAGGTATGAAACAGGAAATTTCCTTAAGTACTTTTTAAAATGAAATGAACAGGAAACAGGTATTTAATGAAACAGGAAATTTCCTTAAGTACTTTCGTATATTAAATACATCTTCAGAAGGTGACCTTCTGAAGATGTATTTAATATACGAAAGTACTTAAGGAAATTTCCTGTTTCATTTTTCCTCCATGGTCTGACATTGTCACATTCTTAATCACGTGTTTATTTTCGTGATATACACACACACACACACACATATATATATATATATATATATATATATATATATATATATATATATATATATATATATATTATATATATTAACTAATATTTGAAGCACGAGTCGCAATTTAAAATAGTCGAACTTGGATAACCACTTGATAATTCTCTAAACGAAGAATTGATAAGGAAAGGTTACGTTCATGGTATTGGAATGCATAATCTTGGAACGGAATAGTGACGTGGCTGATAGCCAGGAGACAGAGGACCAGCACAGATGGAATACAATTTTGGTTGGGGAAGAAAAAAATAAAGTCCCAAATGGAGACTTTATCTAGAACTCACTATGTCACTATTATACATGGGCAATCATGGATAACATGCCCATCATGGTTATTGGGCAGCGTCACTCACCCAGTGAGTAGACATACCGCCATAGCAGCATGTACAACACCCCTCCCCCCCCCCCCTACTAATAGGAAGAAAACTCGCTGGAATTTATCGTTGCTTTTTCTGGTTAGCTAAGCGAGGGGTCTCATGTCAATGACTGTCCTCCCGCAGGATGGACAACACAACAGGCAGCTAAGCCCCAGGTGCCTAATTTTCTCGGAGGTGAACAGACGCGTAAGTTGAATGGAAACATGCCTAAATGTCTCTGTCCATGGAGGCGGGAAATTAACTTCGGACTTCGCGGCAGTGAACCAACTGCGCTACAACAATCAACTAATCAACTTGCAACACATTAACAGTAAACAACCGGTCACACAAGCAAACTTAAACAAGCGTTTAGACCTGTAAACAGTAACCAACCATATCCCCAATGACCTGCCGGGGTGAAACTCCTCACCCGGGAACTCTATGCCATCCGTGAGGTGCTGCCATCTATTGGTCTTTAACGGTGACGCCAACCGCACGTTTTTCTTCACCGTTTACCCTCAACAGATGGCGCGCACGTCTTTACCAAGGCGATATATATACAACATTGACTGAACTGATACGAATACTCTGATGATTATTGCTTATGTTAACTCTAATAATGTTAATTCTAATGATCTAAAAGCTGGGACTAATTCAATAACCCTCGAAAGTTTTGTCTGATATATAAATATGAATAAAATGAAAATATACATATAAATATACATATAAATCTAATAATTGAGAATTAATAATAAATCTAATCTGGAAATCTATCTCGATTATAGAGAGCAAACGGAAGGATAATAAAGGCAGAGACCAAAGAATGGAGTGAATAATGAAGTGAAGAGAATAAAAGGAAGAGAGAACAATAGAAAGAGGAAAACAAAAGGAAATAAAGAAAGAAAAACGAAGAACTCCAAGAGAAAAAACAGAAACATACAATAAAATTATTCATGAGGAACATATGAGAAGTAACGGTGGGGAGAGTGGAGAGTTTGGGGGGAGGGGGAGGGGGGAAGTATGAGGAGGGGGGAAGTATGAGGGGGGAAGTATGGGGGGAGGGGGGGGAAAGGGAGTTTGTTGAAAGGGTGAGGAGGAGGAGGAAGGTGGGGAGTTTATGAGGGGTATATGGGGGGTGTGGTTGGGGTGGAGGGGTATGTGGGGGGGGGGGGGGGAGGGGTGTGTATGTGGGGGGTGGGCATGGGGGGGGGTGGGGTTGAGGAGATGAGCAGTGGAGCCCCGTCAGCCGCGTTACCGGACCAGTGGCAGAGGTCAAGGGATCACCCAGCCCGACTTAAAAATATTACCACACACTGCATCCATAAACTCTTTCAAAGAGAGAGTATATCCGTCCGCTAACGAGCTCGCCTTCCATTAATAAACTCATTAACCTGCCGAGCCATCTTGCATGAGCACATTATACCGCCTGGCGCCCACCAGAACAACATGTTCCGGGCCAAATGCCCAGGCGGCAGCTTACCGGAGAGAAAAACCTGAACACTCGGACGAAATTTCGCATTTTTCGACATTACAGCGCCTGGAGGGTGATGGCAATCTTGCTAATGAACTCGCCCTCATGTTTCTTAGATGGTGAATGACTCGTTAGAGGCGGCCAGGGAGGTGGCCACGAAGAGGGGACTGACTCGTAGTAGCATGAGCACAGCCGACGGCCGAGGAAGGGTTCCGTGAGGTGGTTGGTGTGGACGATAACATACTCCATCGTCTGGAGTACGGCCAAGGCCTCAAACACAAGTGTTCGTGTGTTGTTGTTATCGAGGCTTGTATTGCTGTCATATCAGAGTTGCTCAAGAGTGGCCTAGAGTATGTTTAGGTGAGAGGCCGTGTAGAGGTGCTCCAGATGTGGTGGAGTGGCTTATTCTGGAGCGGTATTGAGAGCTGGCCTCCAGTTAATTAGTGTATTGTCCGGGTGGGGAGCCGTAGGGAGGTGCTCTAGTAGGCAGTTGGTTTGTTCTAAGCCGTAGGTGTTCCAGAGATTTTCTAGTTCAGTGTTTCTTGAACAATTTCAGTGTCACGAGTCACTCTCGAACCTTCAGTGTAAAATTTCGTTCAGCCGCGATTAAATTTCCTTGTGTTTTTGGTAATTTTCTTTGGTAAGGAAGGGAAAGGTAAATTAAGGTCTTGAACATCCTAAAAATATGCAAAGAAAACTTGGAGTAACAAAAAATTAAAAGACAAATTTGAGTTTTTCCGGTTAATTATCATAGAGGGAAATTAGTTAAGAACACTCTTAGAACATAGAATTAGATTCTAAGAAAAACTTTTACCACAAATGACAAGTAATATTTATGGACGCTTGCATGCAAGTAATTTTATCATCAGTGACTAAGATTTTCCTGCTCTCCTGTCTCAAGCTCGTCAACAAATCAATTTATTTATATTCCGGGAAAGCAAGTAGATCCAACCCAATTGTCCAAATAATAGTACACCTCATACGCCTATCCTCTTAAAATAATAGTAAGTTTACCAACTATTTGGCCAAAATTATCCACTGTTGAAGCCCAAACAAACCACATTCTGTAATGAATTATCCCAAATACATTCTAGAAAATATGAAATGTAAATGAGGAATGTAACCTAACCTCTCCAACCAGTCCTAGGCCTAATAGATGCGCTATCTTAGGACTAATATAGTACATATATGTGCTATATTAGGCCTAGGAATGTTTAAGTCTGGTTTTTAGTTTTTTCGACTCGACTCTGTAATAAGTAGAAAACGTAAACTTTTTGGTATCCAACAGTACACGTTGGTACGTGCTAGTATAAATAGTCGGCATAAGTACTATCGTTTCAGAGGGAAGATGTTGATCACAAAAGATGCTGATCTTTTATATTATATATATATAATATATATATATATATATATATATATATATATATATATATATATATATATATATATGAGCTATACATATAGTAGAGGAGCTGGTAGTTTATTTTTAAATTTGTTCACAAAAGATGAGTTTTGAATGAAGTTACATGGAAGCTGCAGTAACACTTGTTGCATGTCCCCCTAACATCTGCTCGCTTGACGTGACCTGTGAAAATGGATGAACTACACACATCTAATTCCTGTAGAACCTTCTGCGGTAAATGTACTTCAAAATTTTCAAGAGAGCGACAGCTAGTACACTGTTGGTAATGATGTCCTTCAGTGCTGGTTCTTTTCACTCACACAAATTAATTTGTGTGAGTGAAAACACTTCACAAATTACACTTTTCACTCACTAATTAATTCTAAATAATTAAATTTAACACAAATGCTTTGTGAGGATGCCTCTCAACTGTGGGAAATTGGAGAAACGTCCATTGGAAATGTTGCAATGCAACATGGTGGTCTTCCTTTTCATGGCTTCTATTTTCCCCAAGAACATCGAGGATGTCAACTCCTTTACAAAAATTGGTACAATTTGCATGTCAAATAAGTACAGCGTCGTAATTGGAATAACACCACACACACTGCTGAAATGCACACAAAATTCCCGTTAATATAAACGGTATTAAATTCACTGTTCCAATAGAAATTTAAATATTAATTGTGTATTCATTTTGTACTTAATTCTAAATAATTAAATTTAATTAACACAAATCTCATATGTGTTATTCCTATACTTTAATTCCTTCTGTCTCCGGTTTAGGTCTCACTCCAATACCTATTTCCTACATGTTTGTATACAAATTAAATCAACGAGGTTCAGAGTTACTCGCGTTTAACAAATGAACATACAAATTTTATGTCTCAGTTTGTATATAATTTTTATCTGTGGTGTCGTGGACATAGCAAAAAAAATTCAAGTTATGAGCAAAACCGAACTTTTCAATAAAATAAATATAAATATTATATAATATATATATAAAAAATATTATATATATATATATATATATATATATATATATATATATATATATATATATATATATATATATATATATATATATATATGTCGTACCAAGTAGCCAGAACGCACTTCTCGGCCTACTATGAAAGGCCCGATTTGCCTAATAAGCCAAGTTTTCCTGAATTAATATATTTTCTCTAATTTTTTCTTATGAAATGATAAAGCTATTCATTTCATTATGTATGAGGTAAATTTTTTTTTATTGGAGTTAAAATTAACGTAGATATATGACCGAACCTAACCAACCCTACCTAACCTAACCTAACCTATCTTTATATGTTAGGTTGGAATAGGTAGCCGAAAAAGTTAGGTTAGGTTAGGTTAGGTAGGTTAGGTAGTCGAAAAAAACATTAATTCATGAAAACTTGGCTTATTAGGCAAATCGGGCCTTGTATAGTAGGCTGAGAAGTGCGTTCTGGCTACTAGGTACGACATATATATATATATATATATATTATATGCATAACCAATTTCAGTCGCATTTTACTATACTTTCTTTATATGTATAACCCTACTTAAATTATCATAATGGTGATGAATTGAGCAGTTTAAGACACACTGTGCTGGTGTCTACTCGTCTATCATCCAGTATTAAAACAACAGGCATGAGATTTTTTCTCTCCGTTTTGCCCTCTCTCTCTCTCTCTCCTTGTCTCTTCTTCTCAATTTATTTCCTTCATTTCCCATCACTCCTGTCTTCCAATTCTACCTTTTCCTTCCCTTTTATCTCTTTAGGTTCTCTTCTCGTTCTTCCCAATATTCTTTATCACATTATCAAGCCTGAGAGCACCCCGGGTAATCCCAATTGCAGTGTCAGGCACCAGCAGCTCTGTGGCATAGCCCGTGTCACGAAGAGAAGGAGCCCGTGCCATGAAGTCGTGAAGAGGGGGGAAGGAGCCGGCGTCGTGAAGAGGGGGGGGGGAGGAGCCGGCGTCGTGAAGAGGGGGGGGAGGAGCCGGCGTCGTGAAGAGGGGGGGAGGAGGAGCCGGCGTCGTGAAGAGGGGGGGGGAGGAGCCGGCGTCGTGAAGAGGGGGGGGGAGGAGCCGGCGTCGTGAAAAGGGGGGGGGGGAAGAGCCGGCGTCGTGAAGAGGGGGGGGAGGAGCCGGCGTCGTGAAGAGGGGGGGGAGGAGCCGGCATCGTGAAGAGGGGGGGGGGAGAGAGCCGGCGTCGTGAAGAGGGGGGGGGGAAGAGCCGGCGTCGTGAAGAGGGGGGGGAGGAGCCGGCGTCGTGAAGAGGGGGGGGAGGAGCCGGCGTCGTGAAGAGGGGGGGGAGGAGCCGGCGTCGTGAAGAGGGGGGGGAGGAGGAGCCGGCGTCGTGAAGAGGGGGGGGAGGAGGAGCCGGCGTCGTGAAGAGGGGGGGGGGGAGGAGCCGGCGTCGTGAAGAGGGGGGGGGGAGGAGCTAGCCTCGTGAAGAGAGGGGAGGAGCCAGCGTCGTGAAGAGAGGGGAGGAGCCAGCGTCGTGAAGAGAGGGGAGGAGCCAGCGTCGTGAAGAGAGGGGAGGAGCCGGCGTCGTGAACAGAGGGGAGGAGTCAGCGTCGAGAACAGAGGGGAGGAGCCAGCGTCGTGAACAGAGGGGAGGAGCCAGCGTCGTGAACAGAGGGGAGGAGCCAGCGTCGTGAACAGAGGGGAGGAGCCAGCGTCGTGAACAGAGGGGAGGAGCCAGCGTCGTGAACAGAGGGGAGGAGCCAGCGTCGTGAACAGAGGGGAGGAGCCAGCGTCGTGAAGAGAGGGGAAGAGCCAGCGTCGTGAAGAGAGGGGAGGAGCCAGCGTCGTGAAGAGAGGGGAGGAGCCAGCGTCGTGAAGAGAGGGGAGGAGCCAGCGTCGTGAAGAGAGGGGAGGAGCCAGTGTTGAGAAGAGAGAGAGAGAGAGAGAGAGAGAGAGAGAGAGAGAGAGAGAGAGAGAGAGAGAGAGAGAGAGAGAGAGAGAAAGGAGATAAGGAGGTGTAGTCAAGGATAGAATAGGAAAGCTAACTCGTCCGTAAGCTGCCGTCTCTTGCCATAAAAAAAGACTAACATTCCTGGTCTAATACAAAGGAAAGAAATACATAAGGTCTCTGTACCCGGCAGCTGATGGTCATGTATTTGACATTCTATATTTTGCACTTTCCATCCTTACTCGCCATTGGTTCAATACATACATTCACTAGGATCATTGAAGCCTCGAACTAGGGCTCATGGTTACCCGTGCTCATGGTTCTACCAACCGTACTATAAACACACTAAGATGTATAAGTGGTGCCTAAGTGGTGCCCAACTGACACTAACCATTCGCTAGGATAATAGAAGCCTCGAACTACGGTTGCAAATAGAGCGAGCTCATCTCTATACCGATTGCACAATGAGTACTCACAATGTGGTAACCTTAATGTGGCTCGCAGCTTTCCCACTATTGTCACTCTGTTCTGCAGGATGGACTGTGATAGGGTGGGGCATGACAGAGGGAGAGCATTTGTTCAAATGAACAAATCCACAGGGGCCGCAATGAGGATCGAACCTACGTCCGGGATAATCCCAGACGAGCCTTAGTCGACTGCGCCACATGGTCAAAAGAACTGCAACCGGGAGGATCCGTGTGAGTGCAATAGCACTCCCGGTTGCAATTCTTTAAATTAATGCAACTTGGCACCCCACAAGGAGGAGTACTAAGTCCTACCTTCTTTAATGTTCTAGTTAATGCCTCACTAAAATCAATCCCAACTTGTCCGGCAAACATCACTATTAGCTATCCAGATGACATCCTTGTACATACTAAAATCCACCGCGAAATGCAAACAATCATAAATTGTATACATACAGCTTGTGAGA